CAGTTTCATTAATTTTGAATTATTCAAAAATAACCTTTATCATAAAGTACTTTTGTAGCGGCCCAATCAAACCGAACTAAGTATTTTTATTGTTCCCAACATCAATCAACTGGCCTACAAAAAGCAATCAACGTCAGATAGTTCCACACTCGAGAACAGAGGCCGCTAGTGCCGCTAATGTGACCTACGGGAAAACGCCTGTTGCTTCACATTATACAAGAGCTACGTAGGACGATATGATTGATATGTTCTGTCACCAATTTGTTCTATTAAATCCCGCTTCAGGCTTTACCTTCAAAATTGAGATGCATTATGTAACTAACTAGCGGCCGCCCGCGACTTCGTACGCGTAAATCCCGTTTTTCCCGCTAATTCCCGTTCCCGTGGGAATTTCGGAAATTCCTTTCTTAGTGCACCTCTACGGTACCTAAGCTACGTCCCTTCCAAATTTCAAGTGCCTACGTTTAGCCGTTTAGGCTGTGCGTTGATCTGTCAGTCAGTCAGTCAGTTTCTCCTTTTATATATTTAGATACCTACTTAGTCAGACAAACGCTTGCTTGGTTTGGTTTCTCTCACGTCAAAACCATTCGCGCTCTTAGTGTTTTTTTTCGTACAAATTATATGATGTATGTGAGTACTTATTGCATAGTGGGCCGGAAGACGGCCCCCACTAGGTAGATCGACGATTTGGTGAAGATTGCGGACGGCGAAGGGTCGTGGAAATCCTTGGGGGAGGCCTTTCTTTGTCCAGCAGTGGACGTCATTTGGTTGAAACGAACATAGTACCTAATGGATTTTTTGTGTTCTTCAAATACATTTCGCTTTTATTTTAATACACTCAGATACAAGTTTCAATACAAACTAAAATAATGGCACAAATAATTGGATTGTTTTCAGTCAACAGCATCTAAAGCATCCAGAGAAAATATCCTTTTAAGCCAGACACGATAGAAAACAATTGGCATGTTACATTATATTGCCCAGGGCAAAGTGTTGAATTACAAGGGCTCTCCTTCGTTAGAAATCGAATACAAGTATTTAATTCAGCGTTAAAGCTGAAAAGGTCTTTAGCTGTTTTCTCTTGAAGAACGAATTCGTAAAGGAACGGCGCCGCGGTGTCCTTGTAAGAGCGCAGCTTATGCCTCGCTACGAATATAAGAAAAAAAACTGTTGCTTTTTTAATTAAAAAAGAATACACGCCAGTAATAATTCAGCATTTCATACACAATGAAGATGCAAACTGTGCAAACTTTGAGTTTGAAAAAGGAATCAGCATCGCTTAGAACTTTTTTTAAAATTTGAATTCGAAAAAAGAATCTGTTTAGAACGTTTCCATTCTTCTGCGTAGTAGCCTGAGAGCTGGAGGGTCTATCGATCTGATTTTATTTGCCGACCGATAACGCTGGTGACACAGCGGACACGATACCGCAGTGATAGCATGCCTTATCTCTCTGTTTACATACGATTGTGTACTTACGAGAAATAGTTTGTGGAAGTATGCTGGTTATCCGATCGATACAATGCTCATTCATGAGTACAGAGCCTAATCGGATTTAGACATTCTTTTGTTTTATCCTTCGTTGACACTGAAGAGATTTCAAGATTCTTTAGTCGAGTTCTTTTGACGTCTCTAGGCAGTTTTATCGACTGTAGTGTAAGCACATCTAAATATTTCACATTATTATTTAGTAATATTATATATTTTTATAGTGCGGTAAAAATAAACGGTCTAAGAAAATTCATTAAAATGAACGCCAAAATTTCCATAAAAATGCAAACACTGCAAAGCAAAAAATATTAAAATACTCTATTAATTAAAATACAGCTTACACAGACAAAAAAGTTTTATTTAACTAACTTGTTATTTAAAACTCTGTTCGTGTTATTTCAGCGTTCAGATTTTTGTATTTCATAATTGCTTGCAGTTGTGGAATGGCAAAAAATTTTCGTTAAACAAGAATTTTGATTCATTCAGTTCAGTCTTGACTAAAGACAATATTTGTGGGTGGACATCACAATAATGGCACTTAGAAGCGTTTATTTAAACCGTTATTGAATTATGCTTGGTGAATCTTTGACATCGACAATTTTTGAATTTTTGACATTGAGTATCTACATTGATAATATTGGAATTGAAATGTTTAATAATTAATTAATTTAATATTTGCATGTCAGAAATGACTAATTGTGAGACCTATCCATTAACTGTATCCATCTCCTGTACCACATTTATAGCAAATAAATGATGATTCTGATTTCTGACTTCTGATTCTGATTCTGACTCTTACTTAATTGGAAAACGTTTATTATTTTTATTACAAGCTTTATATTGACTTCACTTGTTAGTATGTGTGGGACAAATCTTGCAACTGAATTTAAGACCAGTTCTCCTCAACCGATTGAGCTGAAATTTGGTGTACTTATGTAAGTACAATGACAATGCAATATTATGGTATCATTGAGCTGGTCTGATGATGGAGTCGGGAGGTGGCCATAGGAACTCCTAAACAAAACGGCGGAAACTCATCGAGTTTGGGTTCGTTGGATTTGTCTTTTCGAGCACTTTAGTGTTAGATAATGTCCAGGGTTCTGAGATTAAGATATAGGTAACTAAAAAGTGTAAAATAAAATTATAATAAAAATAAACTTTTTAAAAAACAAGCTTTTATTCTGAATTTCGAAAGCTTGTAGCGCAAACAGAGAAAAAGAGGAATAAATTCCATGCGCGATACAAGCTTTCGAAACAAGCTTTCAGAATAAAAGCTTGTTTTTAAAAAAGTTTATTTTTATTATAATTTTTATACATTGAAATAATTACAAATACCGCAAAGTTATTTATTTTTGCAAGCAATTTCTTAGTTTTTGAATTGTTGTATGAACAATGAACATAGAGAAGTTCAGTAACGAAATTATTTTTCCATGTTCCATGTTTCAAAAAAGTTACTTATATTTTTAAATAGCTGAAGTTATTGTCTACACGTCCGTACTCTGACGCTAACAAGCCAAACATTCTTATTTTAAATGGCAAAGAGCTCGAACTTCAAAGTAACACGATCCCACGTTTGTTGACGAACTGTTTGCCAATTAGCCAATATACGCCCCCGTTTCGATAACAGCGACCTTGTCGCTATCTATGGCGAATAAATTAGGAACATCTATTTTTACAAGGTTTTTGAAATGTTGCCACATAACTGATTAACATAATTATCTAGGCACTGAATGTTCGAGGTGCACTTAAGTGATTTATGCACAGTTTCCATTTCTAACTAGTGTATTACACGTAACCTTACTTATCGTGTTACATGGTTTTATCCATGGTCACGTATTAACTAAGAAAGTGAACTAGAGTTTTTCAGTATCATTCATCTTAGTACTGATGAGAGCACATCACGCAATTCACTGCGGCATATAAAGCCGTAGTAGCTAATAAGTGCTAAGTATTGTGCAAAAAAAAATGAAAAGTCTGAGACGTCGACTGTACCTACTAACTACTTAATTGGAATGGTGGATGCCTAATTAATCAAGAATTTCTTGTTACCATTACTAGTATCTATTATGTATCAAATGTTATGATTGATTGCCCAATTTAAGTAGGTACGTTAACTGTCATGCGAAAACTGCTATAAGTTAATATAGCTTTTCCTACTACTACCTATCACTCCTTAGCATTCAGTTTTACCGTGTAGGTGCGGTTTATTATGTACAAATAATAATCATTATGATAAACTGTAATTTAGTCCCTATAATAGTGTCAGTAGCTATTTTTGGTTAATGAAAAAATTTGAAAACTCTCCCTCGTTTCAAACTCCAATTTGGCCAAACTTTCATTTTCATACAAAATAGACTCAATTTGCTGAATTGTATGCTTCAAGTAACGCAACAAGTTATTCGATTTGCATATTTATCAAACCCTTTGCGAAATTCGTCCCACACGTCCTTGTCTATTAGAAGTTAACCTAATTATTGTTGTAGACTGTGAACATCAATATTGTAACAAACTTGATTAGATCTATCTCAATAGGTAGGTATATGGAATATGTGTTTAATCAAAATAGTTTCTCTATAATACGTAACGAAATTTTCCTCGCTACTAATTTTATTGTAATTAATTTGGATACCTTTACTCTAGTATATTAATTAAAAATCTACAGAATTGTTGTACCTATGTTTTAACATGGTTTTTACTTTAGGATGGATTATTTAGGCTTCATTTCGGCACAAACTTTATTAACTCCTCATGCAGCGAGTTGATTTTGTAGCATCAAAATTACATAACAAACGATTGTTGTGTTCAAAACTCATATTATTCATGGAGATAAACAGACATGCGAACATTACACAGTTTATTAATGAGTTCCATCCAGCTGCGCGATGAATTAGGTCTAAACTTGTTGTTTGTCGTTTTAATGGGATTTGTTGTTATTCTGCCAGTATTAACAATGAAGTAGAATACTTATGATCCTGAACTTTCCTGGTTCATTGGAATTGGAATGTATTTAGTAAATACTCGTATCTATACTACATGTATAAGTGTAAACAAGTACAGAATATTATTTTACTGTGTAAGTAGGTACTCTGCTAGTCTGCGTGCCTGTGTCTTATGTTTTTAAGCCTATACACACAGCCTAACATTTTATTTTTTTAAATAAATGTAACATGTAATTTTATCTATTGTAAGAAAATTTGTTAAAATGAACTCATACATGAGTTCGACAACAGTCACTTGAGACATTTTCTTACTCACATAGAAACGACATGATATAATTTTATTCTTTTGTTACGCCCGTGACCTTAATTAGTCATTACGCGTGTCGTTTTGGCTCCTTTGTCCTCAACTCCTACAAAGGGCACTAACGAAGTTCTGTAGGGAACATTGAAGGCAGGGACATTCTCGTAGTTACCCTAGTAGACAGCCAAGGTCGTATTCATTACCTTTCGTTACCTTGGAAAACTGTTTTTAAAAGAATGTTCTAGTTCACTCATGACTATCTTTGTTTCAGGACTGAAAGAACAGAAGACACCGTATCAAGCAGCGGCAACCTAACCAATAATGCAGTCCGTCACAAAATCGTCGTGATGGGAGCAGCCAAAGTCGGCAAATCCTCGCTCATCTCACAGTTCCTCTACAACACTTTCTCGCCTAAATACAAAAGGACGATCGAAGAGATGCACCACGGAGACTTTAATGTTTCTGGTGTGAGACTGACGCTGGATATCCTCGACACATCAGGAGCGTACGAGTTCCCAGCGATGAGGGCGCTGTCTATGCAGTCAGCGGATGCCTTCATACTCGTGTACGACATAACAGACGCGGACAGCTTCGCAGAAGTCAGGACCTTGAGGGATCAGATCCACGAGACGAAGGAAAGCACAGCAGTCCCGATAGTCGTAGTCGGCAACAAAGTGGACTTGGCAGAGACAGGAGCGCGACAAGTAAGTTTCATTTTCTATTTAAATACCCATAAAAATAAAAATAAAAATAAAAGTATTTAAGTATGTTTATATCCGTTGTCTAGCACCCATAGTACAAGCTTTGCTTAGTTTGGTACTAGAAGCGTAGTGTAAAATGTCCAGGGATATTTATTTATTTATTTATAACCTTTACCGATGACATTTTGCCGGTCTTATTTTTCTTTGAATTAAAAATATCTGCAATACCAGCACTTTTTATAAAGATCCGATATCAATGCGGATAATTTAATTACGTCAACAGTCACGCTTCGTTCTTGCTTTCTAAGAATAAAAGAGCATTCCTGAAAAACAAACAGTAAGGCTTAGGTATACTTATCTATTCGCTGTAATATCTTCCTCGCAGAAGAATTACTTGTTGCGTAAAGTTCTTACCTAGTTTGTGCGCAGCAAAGTTACGCAAAAGTTATTACGTACTACGTTTTGTAGCTAACATTATTTTGCCCAAGAACAAAAATTACGGGCCCTCCAGGCGAAGCTTGTACTATATCGTAACGCCAGCAAATATTAGTCTTCCGTCAATCACTTTTATTGTATTTCTCTGGCTATGCGGACGGAATTGGAAATTGGAAAAACAGGCAATATCTCCACAAACCGTTCAATCTGTAATCATCCTCCAACTTATTACATTAAGATATTAAATAATGTTGCTTTTGTATTTAATGTTTTACTGCTTTCCTTTTGAAAAGTTTTGTGTAAGTACATACTTAATTATTATGCGTTGATAAACCTATTAGTACGTGTGCCTGAAAAATCGTTCTACAGTTTTCTATCCTAAAACGATTTACTTACTATGTTGCTAGTGAAATGCGAATAGATAAGTTACTTGAAAAAGTTTTTTTAAATTGATTTTCATATCACAAGTTAAGTCTGAAAGGTATTTTTCGAATATGAACATTATAAACGCTACACCAATATTAACTGTCAAAAGCTTCAACTTGCCGCCAATTTCGCCATCGCCCTATTTATAAAGGTTACAATTCTACGGCTCTATAATTGAATCTTCGTTCACGTCAGTGGGTGTGCAGTGAAAAATGCATCTATTTGTGGTACAGTACAGTCCGCTAAGCTGAGTCGCGCCCACTGGCGTGGGAAAATCGAATTTCCTGTCGCCTGTCAACGGTTGTGGCGGGGCGGAAAATATCCCAAACATACGACAGAATCGGAGCCTCGTGGTCAGCGGGCTGAAATGAAAGTCGGGTTCTATTAGATTGTAAACATTAATAATGGGGCAAGGAAACCGTAAAATAATTTAATATTGGTATTGAAACTAATATCTAAAAGTTGGGTAGTAAAAGACAATTATCAGATTATTCCAAGGATCTTAACTTGATTTTCATGAATAATCCTGAAAACATTTTTTCAGTTCTCTTTTTACAATTGGATTTTAGTGGTTTTGAAATCCATAATAAATATCGTTTCATTTTTGAAATGCAAGCAATGAATACCAAAATCATTGGTTCCTAATGTTAGGTACAAAATTTAGGCAAATGGACTTTGCCAACCAAATGAATAATTAACATACAACCAAATTGACTGATTTTATTTCCATAGTTTACTTTATTATACATTTTATTTAGCAAAAAGTACTTTTACTAAAATAATAAAAGAGCTTTGATTAACTCGAATAAAAAATCGATTACATTAATATCGGATGCTTCGGTCAACAGAGCAAACACTTCGCGGCTTGAATGCAGCCATCTTTGCGGTCCCAATATGCAATAAAACGATGCTGGGAGGGATTGCTTCAGTCTTTAGTATATCGTAACGTGGAGTAGCATCTAATATTACTTTCTTAATCGATTACACCATAGCTGTTTTATTGTCAACGTTAATTTTATGGGCCTTAACATCTTTAATTGATGGCATCTTTTCTCCTATTGTCGCATCAGTCAATTCCGAGCAGTATAGGAGCCAATTTTTGATAGTCAGGGTTTTATGTGGGGATTGACTTATTATCTGATAAAGGACAGTTTATTTAAAAGGATATTGAAAATTCAATTTTCTCTTACTACTATCAAATTATGTGATAGGATCAAACTTCGAATTAAAATAAATGCAATATTGAAAACGCTTTCAAACAACTATTTCACACGACTACAAAGGACAATAAAAATTTATGACATTATGAAAATGGACGTGCATTTAAAACGAGTGTGGGCAACTGCAAAAAGGCTTTTCTTCTTTTACTCGTTCTACCAAATAAAGTTAAAAGTCATTCGGTAAAAGCTTCTTCGTGTTTTTCCTGCAATACTAGTAGACAATTGAGGTTCGGCCAAACCAACGCGTGCAGCCTGCGTGCACGATGACTATGGCGATGCGATCAGATGTCATGTATTAATTTGTAGCCATGAGTTCACATCAACGCGTCTGTCATGGACATGTCAGCAGGACCGCACACGGTAAATTGTATGACAACTGCGTCGGAACGAAATTGACAATTGCCTATAGTTAAGTATCCGGACTTGCAAACGCACGACAAACGCACGGCAAACGTCTAACGTCTAAATTGAAAGCGCCCTAAGTAATACCCGCACTACTGAAAAGTAGGGTAGGTAAAGCTGACTGTGCAAAATGAAACTACCTTCAATATTGTTAATATGATCGCCACTTTAGTTCCACATGTGGAGTAAAATGGTTTTTACGAGAATCCTTATTAGGCCATTACGTTATTATAACGTTAATTTGGTCTGTAACGGTTATAACAATAACGTTAATTTATCGCTTTCATTAATTTGATTGCGCTGCTGTTTTGTTGCTTTTTGGGTATACTAAACCTTTATGACAAACTAATAACAAGTAGCCTGTGACAATACATTTTTTTACAATATTTATTTATCTAAAAGGCACTACCACAGAATACTATTCAAAGCAATTACAAAGATAGCATAACTAGGTTTCACATTTAAATTATATTCCTATAAATAACAGTAAATTAATTCAAATAATTGTATTCCTTTCCAATAATTGTAGGCTAAACTCTAAATGATACTACCGCTGCTTATTACAGGTCTGCGTCTATATAAACTTTCAGAACAATACAAAGTTAAATCTCAAATATTTGTAATATTCTGTAATATTAGACATTCTATCCAGACGAAGCTTTGCATTTCATTCAAGTTTCATCGCATCAACGAGATGAGATCGCTATGAAATATTCGTCTATGTATCTTAGTCAGATTTCCCGTTTACACTTCCGCCAAGAAAAATGGTAATCCTGCAGAATATACAAATACTTGCAGCAGGACCCGACCCACATAGTTTATTTAGGTCATCATGTACTCCCGACGCCATAGCGTAGTCCCGGAATTTCCTGGTCTATTGATTTTTCATGAAAAAAAACTTAATGGAGCAAAAAATATGACTTTCTAAACTTTTTCGTTATTTTATGAAATTCTGAGACCGCGCGGCAGGGCGAAGAAAGTATGTAAAATCAAGATAAATAAATAAAAGTCCGTAGTTCCTTGAACATCGGTATCGTTAGGTAGGTATATGCTTAGGCTGAGTTGCACCACCCAACTTTGACCGTAACTTTGACGATAGCCGGTGTTTAATGTGTGGATTTTGACAGATTTTTGACGTTGGTCAAAGTTAAAGTATGATGGTGCAATCCAGCCTTACTGTTTAAGTGCAGTTGAATGTTCTTCTAGTCTGCTTGGTTTCTATCTTGCCTTGAAAACACAAGGAAAAGAAACAATATGCCTTCAAAGCTTACAGGTAAAATGTTGTCCAGTAACTGTGCACAACTAAATTATGAGCTTTGAAGGGAAACATAACTTTTGTTTCTTGATGTTAACTTGTTCTGAGTATGGATTGCGTTTGGCATTCAGCAGATACTTTTCCTTGACATATTTCACGTGAAATGTTACTCGTACAACATCGGTAAAACCTGTGTTAAAGTTTGTAAGTACAGACACAGATATCAGACGTTTTCGTTGCATAGCACCTTGAATAGAACAACATATCTTATTTCAATAATGATTAGTTTCGTACATTGAAATGGCGATAGTTTAGGTAATTAGCTATCTATATGTTATATCATTATGTTATGGAAAAATATTTTAGAAGTAGAGTACTGACTGTACTGTATTATCTAAGTAGGTACATTAAATGTATGGAATGATTTTGCAACAGTAGTATTATAGTGTGCTGTCGGCATGCACATTATTATCAAGAAAATATTCTGAAAAACGCCAAAGAATTTTCATTGTTGCACGCGGGAATATTTTCATCTGCCATTTTACGATCGCGAGGTAGTATCCTCGCTATTTTGTTAACAATAGCTTATTTCCGAGCACATGAGGCCAGCTGCAAAGTTGAGCGGTAGTGCTTTGAGCACGAGTCAACAATGTAGCGAGTGCGGCGATAGTCGGCACCTCTCAAACAATAGTAGCCAATATCCGCTCCGCTGCATCGGACAGCGTATGCAGTGCGCGCAAAAGCAGCGAAATAGAAGCACTGGTTCATAAACAGTAGAAAATATTGTATGAAGATTTGCTGCTGAGTTTTTCAAGACTTAAAAATGGGCTTCTATTATTTTCGTGACAAACCATACTTGTTTCACCGAGAGACATATGTCATACGCCCGTATTCACAAACGATGCTTGCTTAAGTGAAGCAGCAAATCGAACGCACAGCGTGGAATAGAGCTCTGTGATTGGTTCGTGTGTCATCCTGTGCGTCCACGCGCACTGTGCGAGCTCATAGTAATGTTTGTGAATACGGGCGTTAGGACACAGCAATGCTTATTCATCATTGTGACAATCTAGTTTTTATACCAAATATTTACCTTTAGGTTTAGTATGTATCCACACAATTTCAAGTCAAATTCAAATTCAAGTTCCCGGAAACATGTAGGTACGTACAGTTTTTCCAAAGCTCGTGCTGAACCTTAAAAAGCTTCCCACGTAAGTTGCTACCTGAAACTCACGCTTAATTGAAGACTGAATATTAATTAGGCATTTCATGTTTTTCCGACAAATAATAATATCATGAAAATTAGAAAGTAGATCAGAATGAGTTTCGGAGAAATTTCGAACTTCAGGTGGATTTTGGTAAATGTACCTACACTGTTTATGTATCAACTAACAGCTTGATTATAATTATCTGGTAATGATAGATTATAAGTATTTAAGTAGCATACAACGAGTCTGTTCCGTCTAATACCCACTGATAGTATTTTAGAGCAATTATTTAAAGGCATAGTCGTATGAAAATTACTATGAAAATGATGACTACGACTACAATGAAACAATTTTGTGCATTACCCACAAGTTCATCCCACGTTGTAGATTCTATATCGAAATTGCCGGTCGCTGTTGCTAGAAACTAAAAGTAGTTACTGTAGTTTGACCCTAAGGGGCAATGTTGTTAAGCTGAGGTCAATATTGTGTTAAGCTGTAACTTGGTCCATAGACAATGGCCCAATATTCGCTGTGCTACAACACAAGTACCAACACTTGGCGTGTGCCTTTGTTGCATGGACGTGAACTGTAGGTACGTTAGTTCGAAGTTTTGATATGGGTAGTTATTATTAGTGGTAAAGTAGGTTAGTATGCAAGTGTTTTCTTAGGTCATTCCTAAGACTATTTCTTACCAAAAGTAAAATTTATCACATCCTATCACGAAAAATGAGGACTTTACAATATCTTCGTCCATATTTCATCTCTTCAAGTATTTTGCGACATTAATTAGGTACCTAATGGTGTTTTAAAAACAATAATATTCTATTACTTACTTATATTTCTTTTTCATCGAAGATTAAATGATTCGTCTGTTTAGGTGCAAGTCAGAGTGAAAACCTTGCAAACAAACAAACAAAGTTATTATCGCATTCACACATTTTATCCGACCTCAACTTACACAGTTTTTATCTGCTCAGTCGTAACTACAACTCCACGTTTCCGTAATAAAACTACACTATTCACATACTATAAAATAGGCCAAAAGTTAGCGTTGCCTTTCCTATATCGATGACATGGTTTCCCCCCTGTTTTCCTTTACAGGCGCTCGGGCCTATATCCGGCTTGATGCACTTCGAACGGTTATACCGACCGTTTTATTATAAGGAAAATGCCTACTAGTAATTTATGAGAGACTCTTATATGGTACAATAAAAATACGAGTCATAATAGTCGTAAATCAGAGGCGTGTTTGAAAAACAGTTAGGAAAATAATAGTTGAGGGAAATTCATTATTTAGACCACGGAAACACTTTTTTGTAGGTATCCTCTAGGATACAACTATTACTTTAGGATTGCAACAATGCTTCGGTAGATGCATGCTATTCATAAGAAAGACTAAGTTTATTCCGGCGCTTCTTCCTCGAAACGCATAAGGAAAACAGATAATAAGACATAAAGCTGTTGTTTAAACCGTACAAATTTCCCACAGACGAATTATACGAAATCTATAACATAATGTCGGTTAGAAAACTATATGTCCTAGCATCAACACTTAAAGTACATAAAACCATGACATACAAACCCGACTTGATGACTGGTAGAAGACAAAACAATGTGATACCTATTCCGACTTGTAAAACTGAATTCGCCAGACGGCAATTTTATGTTCAGTCTACTTTTGTATACAATAGATTGCATAAAAGACTTAGGAGGTAGGAAGCCATAGTTCCTCTGTAGTTGAAGTTCCCTTCCACCTTCAGCCTAATCATCAGTTTCCACCAGGTGTGATGAAGGGCAAGAGCTTCCTCGTTGAGATAAAAACATGTTCTGTCCAGTTACTGCTCTAAATCTGTTCTACGTAATGTAAACTTAGAGGATTCTCAATATTAATTCACTCCAAGAAAGTCAAAAACATGTAACGGAATCTCCGACTTACCACTTTAGTGGACCGATTACAGGAAAAAGTGGCCCATTAAGTACATGCTTTTTTGTATTATTATGAATGTTCAGGAAACGGCGCAGTTTTTAAAATCGTTTTGGACCTATGGAAGTTCTTTTTTTTACTTAAACTTTTAAGTTGAAAATTTGATAGTGTTCTGATAAAAGCATAATTTTAATGTTTCTAGCAAAACTTTTGTATCTTAAATCAAAGATAGGCCTCATTATCTTCAAAACAGTGAGGTCTAAAAGATAGGCATCTTTTAGACCTCACTGTTTTGGCCACCCTGTATGTAATAGGTAGGTATCATATACCTATAGTAACTAGGTATATTATAAACAATCATACCTACACTGAAATCGAAGCTAAATAACTTATTCGGGAAGTTTGTTCAAAGAAGTCTGTTGATGTCACTACTTACCTGTTTTCGACATTTAATTACGGTGTAATTTCAACCCTTATTATCTTGTTATAAACATTATTGATTATATCGACATGTTTGTACAAATAGGACCAGAATCTAAATAACAGATTTGAGAGCTCCTTTGCATGAACCCTTTCCACTATGTATGTAAAGTTTGTTCGCAAAACAACCTCTACTTTATCTGAAATGAAGGCAATAAAGTAACCCGTGTACTGAAAATATTTTTACGTTCTCAAAAATGTTCTTATACAATGTTAAACTAGAGGCATCCAGGCAATTTATAGACTACTAGCGGCCGCCTGCGACTTCGTACGCATGGATCCCGTTTTACCCCCTTAGGGGTGGAGTTTCGTAAAATCCTTTCTTAGCGGATGCCTACGTCATAACATCTACCTGCATGCCAAATTTCAGCCCGATCCGTCCAGTGGTTTGGGCTGTGCATAGATCACTATGTCAGTCAGTCAGTCAGTAACCTTTGAGTTATAAATATTTAGATTATAGTACTATTTATTTTTATATGTAGGTATGTTGATACTCCCGTGTTCGGATCGGTTGCAGTGCGTAATCATCACTCATACAAAGTTTACGGAACTGTGTGAATAGTAACTATAGTTACTTATCTATTATTTCGAATCACTTTAAAACTTATTGTTACAGGTCGAGTTCCACACCACAGAATCCGTGGTCACAGTGGATTGGGAGAACGGCTTCGTCGAGGCCTCAGCGAAAGACAACATCAACGTGTCACAGATCTTCAAGGAGTTGTTAGTGCAAGCGAAGGTGAAATACAATCTGTCCCCGGCGCTGCGGCGGCGGCGGCGACAGTCCCTGCCTACGGGGCCCCAGGGGCCCCCCGGGTCCAGTCCGACCCCGCCCGCGTCTTCCCACGCGCCCCACGTCCCGTCGCCGGCGCAGCTAGCTCATCTCCAACAGATCAGGGAACGACACAACAGCAAACGAAACTCGTGTGTCATCTCTTAAGTTTTAGTATTATTGATATGAGAGTGTAAAGTTGCTTTGGTGATATTTGGTAATAATAGCGGTAAAGATGGTAGTGTCAAAGATAGGGTTTTGATTACCTAGTATATTATACAATGTAATCAAAACCCTATCTTTCACTTTACCGTCTAACCAGCGTGTAGCGTGTGTGGAGTGTAAGCCAAATCCTCCATTTGCCTCTGGAAAATTGGAGAGGGTTGTTTTTCTGCATTGGGGACAGGATATGAACTGATGATGATGAATAATATAACAATAGCACAAGAGTCGAGATGATAATGTTATTGAAGCTCGAATATATCGCCAAAACATTTTACAGTCTCATCGTTCTACCAAATATCTACTTAATAGAAATACTTTATACGGAAATAATTTATCTAAGATTGATTAAGTGATAAGTTTTTTACCAATCATTCCTGTACTCGTTTTTAAAGTAAAGATGTCTCATATGTCTCTCTATATTAACGTTTTTCCTGGAAGCTCTTTCTTCTTACCCAGTGTTTTAAGCTTTTATTTCGCTTTTCCGATAAAAAAATATCTCCTCAGCATAATTGTTATTTCGATAAAAAGCTTCACTTTACTTTGTACTTAAATCATTCACTATCGAAGCTTTTTACCTCTCCAATGTTGTTTTTATTAATAAAGTTTCAACATCAAACTCAAAAGACAGTTTCATAGCATATTGCAAAAACTAAACTTAAACTTTTGATGCAAATGAAGCTTGCATTATGTCAAATTAAATAATCATTTTTCTAATACTTACATAAATATTCTAGGCACTAAACTATTTCTGATGTAACTTTAATTGAGTTTTATATTCCTCGTGAAAACTTTGTGGTATTGATCAAGAGGTTTTGGCCATTGAAAAGTAATATAGCGTGAAGGGTTTTTAATATTTATATCCATTAATGTGTAATAATGTGTATACCAATTTGTAGTGGTGAAAAATCTTCTTAGATGTCCTTTAAAGATGCCAATGCTAACATAAAAATGTACTTACGGATAAGGTTTAGAAATATTAAAGTTTAATGAACATTTTTAGGTGATGTTGTATAAAAGAAACGTGATATAGTTGAACGATGGGTATCCTTGTGACTGGTTTACTGTAAGTATTCGTAGTGTAATGATTTGGAAGAAATATTTATGAAATAAGTTTTATTTTATCGAAGGAAACATTACAGATACGTTATGGTAATACCAATTTGTCATTGAGCACAAGTCTGGAGATGTTCGTATATGAATAAACCTAGATAATGTACCTTAAATATGATGCAACGTATGGTTTGGACCAGTGGAAGCAGAACGCAGAAAAAAATGTGAAGAAATGAGCGTCAAAGAAGCAGGCGTAACTTACATTGTATTATATCAATTCATTTATTTCAATCGTACTACGCCAACGACACTTTTAATTCTTGTTCTTGATGTTAATATTAATAATTTTGTTTTCCGTGCAAACTGTGAGATAATATAACGTCGTAAATTAGCGTTCGGGAGACATGTTAACGTAATTAACGTGGAAAACGAACGTTGAACGTTTATATTACCCCTGTCTTTGACAGATTCTACATTTCTCTAAAATCGCATTATACCTTGTGTCTTTTTATGCAGTCCTTAATCATTTCTGGGTCTTTCTCCGGTACTATTACAAAATATATCTTATTACTAAGACTATCTAGTCTACTCTAACTTTTAGTCATAAGTATTGTATACTAAAGTATACCTTAAATTTTTATAAGCAAATCAATATGTCCATTATTTAGATCGGTAAACTACCTCTATAGATTCCTTCGTGGTCAACATATTTGTTGTCTATCAAAGTTACCTACCAAATCTTATGTAGAATATTTCAAAAATTGATGAGAAATTTATTTATTTTCTTATGAATACATTTATTAGGCGTTTCAAATTTATGGATGTGCCTTTTTTAACAAAACGTAGTTCTCTTAGTTTTAATTAACAATGGATAGATTTAGTTTTTGTACTGTGTATTTGTTTTAGGTGTTTGCTTCGTTTTGTTATCATTAAAACAGAAACCATTATAATTTGCCTCTGTCAAATAAGTTTATAGGCTGTGTGTTAGTATTTTAGGTGATATATTAGATGATAATTATGGTGATAGTTTTTTGAGAGTAGAATTTCTCTAATAAGAAAACAAAAATAAGATTCTTTGAAATACAACTAATCGATTTATGTGGTTATATTTTCCTTCAGGGAAATAAATATTGCAGATTATAAATAGAGATTTGGAAATAGTTGTTCTATGTTTCTTAAAGGTGTAATCAAAATGTTATGATAGTAAAGGATATACATAATACGAATAAAACAAACATTATGAATTTGTTGAATTCAGCACAGATGGATTTGAGAAATGTAGAGTGCATTAATTTCCTGCTAGATAGTGATGTTAATGTCGTAGAAAAATAATGTTCGTACATACGAATTGATAATCTAAAAGAACAGGCGTACATACGCCTGTTCTTTTAGATTATCAATGGAGCCAAGTATTTGAATTAAACAGTTTGGTGCGTTGTACTGGTGTAACATCTTTGACTTTCAATAAACATACTTCAGAAATTTAACAGTTTTTGCATGAATACATAATAAATGTTCTTTTTCAGACCCAAGCAAGTGTCCTAAAAAGCATGCCAAACCCTCACTCTGCGACAATCTGTGTATACTTGCTTCTGTCACGAGAAAAAGGAGTAAGAAATTAAACATTTTAATTTTCATTTTTCATATAGGTACCTAACGAGAGAATTGATACCTACTTCTTAGGATCTCCGTGCCCTTTATTTCGCCCATACATTTTTTTCGACTACAGGTGCCATATACAACGTGTCCCAGAATTCAAGGATAAGCCGACGCCACAGGATGGACATAGTCATGACTACATTAGGAGAAATAAGGAAAAAAATCTATCTCAATTATTTTTTAACTTACAGAATAAATTATGAAATTTGACGAAAATTGACACCCTTTATGATATTTTACTTTACCACGGCCACAATTTTTCAAATATTCCTGTTTTTCTGTTTATATCGGCAACTTAAGCAGTGCTGTTGTTTACCCCAACTCTTAAAACCCCCAGAATCCTTGCAGTTTTTTCACAAAAGTTAATAAAAATATGTTATTTCCTAAAATTTTGAACGATTTTTACTTTCTCCCAACACCAACCTCTAAGCCAAAATTCATCAAAATAGTAATATCAGCTTGTAACCGTACGCACAAATAGTTTGGCTGACAAATCAATAGGCACAAGTATTTACATTTCACTTCGCCTCCATTTCGCTCGGAATTCCGAAAGTTTTACTCTTGGGACAACCTAAACTTCAGCGCGGTTCAATATGTGGTTGCCGCAATTCACCTTTGACATATCGCCTTACTGTGTTCTAGGTAAGTAGCCAAGTGAGTTCTATTTTGATCAATGAAGTGAAGGCAAGAAATAACTCAACCCTTTGCTAGGGAATGTCACGTGTTATTCTTATTAACATAGACACAACTCGATATTCCTCACTGCATTCTCCTTTTAATTTTACACTGATCCTCTCCTATTGTTATTTGAACGAAACATGACGATATAGGTACGAAATTCAAATAAAATCAAATAGGTATATTTATTTGCATAAAACATGGTTAATTAATCAGTTGTGTGGTGTTCAACAAAAATGATGTTGGTATGTTATGGGTAAGTAGAGGTACTTACATTGGCTGTAGTGTAATAGACTTAATTTTACGAAACCACGGGTTCGAATCCCGCAAGACCAGATAAAAATTGAAATGAAGTTTACCTGTACGCTTATACGAGTAGGCCCCAACTTTTCGATTTTGCAGCAGCTAAGTTTTTCTAGTAGGTATGGGTACGAAACAGGAAGACCATGCATTATTGAGATAGTTCGGTAAACTAATGCTAATAAAAATTTAAAGCAACATAATACTTAACCAAAGTATCGAAATAACAATACTGTTTACATGACCTACAACAGGCCGTGTTCATATAAAATCAAATATGTCAGTTTACGAGCCACCGAAAGTTCGCGCTGTCTCGGCAGTAAAACTTTATACGAACAAATGCTGGCTTCGCGAATTTTTTCGTATCCCTTCCGAAGAAATACAACGGGCTTAGTATTTTGACACAGTCGATAAATACGATTTTCTGCCAAAGCAATTTTTGCTGGTGACACTTTTCGCTTTTGCACGCTTAGTTATCGGTGAAAGTGCATAGACTTGCTTTGAAATAGTAAAGTTTATTCCTTTGAAATAGTAATGCATAAAATACCCACTTATATTACTACGGATAATTCTGCCAGTACCAACAACCAGCTTGGTCAACTGGTGGTTCAAAAGCATCCATAAATAATGTTTAACAAACTTTTTTGTGTCACAACCTCTGGAAAACTTTCTGACACATTATATTTGAAGTGGGAGGTAAGACGTTTTACAATCTCAGTCTCGAAAACTGCAAGCTGGTAAGTGATTGGAGAGAAAGGTATAGGTAAGTAAAAGCACGATTATGCCACTTTTTTCTCGTCTTATATCGATCCACCCGAGCTGCCTAGCGTCTTTAGAACGCGCGGAAATCGAATAGAAAAAAAAAACAAGTGAACAGCTAGCCGATTAATAAATCGAGTTCGTCGAACCAGGCACCAGTGAGTGTTGCGTTAGAAGCATCACTTGTTGCGCAGCGCCGCGATCGATACGCTCCCGCGCGCGGCGACTCCTGTCCAACGGGGCTGGGCAAGGCGCTTATCTATCCTCGATTACGCCCGCTGGAAGGGTGACGACAAGTCACGTGATTAGGCGATAAGACCGCTCTGTTTCTGATTAACACCAGGCCCTACGAAAAAGCTGAAAGCGACATAACTTAATTTGCTGATAAATATGAGTAAATACATGTATTCATACTATACCTGCCACGGTAAGTTGAATAATATAATTAGTGTATGCCTACCTACCTAGATTACTACGAGTATCACGAGTACGACATAACTATCGAAATAAATATACCTTAGCTTAGACAAATTGTGAAAACATTTCTTATTCTCTTTGAAAGCTCATCTATTAGCAAAACAAAATCAATCTCAATCCGTCAGTCATTAAGGTGCTAATAGACTACATTTTGTCTTCCAAACATAAAAACGCACGATAAAAAGTAAAGGCAAACATTTCCAGACGGCCCGTAAGTAAACTCCTAAGTGGCATTGTCAAGTTTATGAGGCCATAAATCGCTCAGAGGCAGCATTCAGCGAGGCTCACTCCTCTTTAATGAATAAAGCGAGAAATCATATCTTGAAGCTATATTTTACACTGCTGTAGTCCAGTGGCTAGAGAGTGAACTGATGACTCTTAGGCTGAGTTGCACCGCCTTATTTTAACCGTAACAATAACAATAACCGGTGCTTTTTGATTGGAGTTTGATAGATTTTTTATGTAATTGTCAAAGTTAAAATAAGATGGTGCAACTCAGACTTAGAGGTCGTGGTTCGATTTGTAAGTGGAGCAGACTTGGTAAGAAATCTTGATTTGTTTGTCCCCAGTTTAATTAGGACATTGTGCTTGACCACGTTAAGCCGCAGTCCGATTAAGCTATGTCAGA